AAGTCTCGCTTTTTTCCCCTTGATTAATCCTCTTGTACATTTTATTATCAAATAGAAGCAATGACATTGAAGATAGAGAACTAGTGAATGTGAAGAGTAATTTTTTCTCAGAATTATGACTCTTTTTTTTGATGTAAATGAATACACTTGACCAGTTTCCTAGCCATAAATGTATTCAAAATATTGTCGACATTGGATTGAAATGATCGAAAAAATTTCTCATTAAAGTATTTTATTGAGACTTTTTTCTAAATGTTCTAATTCTATTTGCAAATGAAAGTTTTATTTGCAGTGAGAAACAAAACACTCGAAATGCATACCATCTACGAAACTTTTTACTTTCTATTCAATTCTAGACGGAGGTCACGCTCTGGCTTTAAATAACATCAACTGTTAACTTTGTACCAAATTAAAGCTCGTCGAAAATGGAATTTATAAATGCCAAATAGCAAGGATTTTCCCAACATTTCGGTGTCGAATTCAAGAAATTTCCTTAATTTTACGTGACATCAACAGAGAAAAATTTCTTTCCTGAAATATTTTCATATTCATCATTTTAAATCAGATTTAGTTTGAAAAGCCTCATGAAAGGAATTTTTCTCTGCTGATGACTCGTAAAATTTAAAGAACTTGAGGGTGTGGGTGTGAGTGTGCATATACGTGTGAGTCTTGTTTTCATCTGAACCTTCACCCACATCCACACTCGCACCCCACACCCACACCCTCCCGCCCTATTCATTCACTGGTGTTACTATAACATAATCAAGTGATAAAAATGTTTTGGATTCATAACAATGTACTTTCATATAGTGTAAACATGATTGAACAGTAGTTTCACGTTGAACAACAATGGAATCCATATTACGACCAAGAACTTTTGTAATTACCATTTGAAAATGTTTATGTGTCGATTCACAAAGACCAATTAAATGACCATACTGAATATAAAAAATTTCTTTTTAATTATGTAGATTTCATATGAAATTTTAGTATTCAATAATAACATTCAATCAGAATTTAAATATTTCTCGAAAATATAAATACACATGTATGATAAACTCAAGGGGGAAAAAGCTGATTCCGTGATTCCGTGATTCCATGATTCCATGTGATTCTATGTGATTCTATTGATTCTATGTGATTCTATGTGATTCTATGTGATTCTATTGATTCTACGTGATTCTATTGATTCTATGTGATTCTATGTGATTCCAAGTGATTCCGTGTGATTCCGTGTGATTCCGTGTGATTCTACATGATTCCACTGACTCTGGAATCACTATGAATATCATTGTTTTTCTCGACTGTGATACCGTCACATCAATAGAAACATCATAGAATCATTAGAGAGATGAGTTCTGAAGATTCCTGATCATTCCAATCAATAAGGAAAACAGCTGACTCATCGTCGTAAGAGTCAATAAGTCGAGCACAAACAACGCATTCTCGATATTGCTGAATCTTAGACAAAAGTAAATTATTTTTCA